TTATTTTTAAAAAGTATGTTGCCTTTTGTGGCCAAGACAACTAAATGACCAGCAAGGATTCTTGCTCTCTTTCCCTAGCATAGAGGTGTTGCTGGGAAGTGGCTCCCTAGCCAGCAATTACAATTCCCAGCCTGCCTGGCATCTAGGTGGGCCAGGTGACTGGGTTCTGGCCAGTGGGATACAGCAGAAGTCATGCACATGTCTCCTAGCCTGACTCCCCCAAATCTCCGGGGCAGGTTCTTCCTCATCTGTTAGCCAGATGTTGACAGCCAGAAAGATGCAAGCAGAGAGTGGAGTCTCTGTAAGCCTGAGTCTCAGCTGGGGCCCTCAGCCCCAAAACTGGCCACCAGGTGAATAAGAATTAAACATCTATTGCATTAAACAGCGAAGAATTCAGAGTTTATCTGTCACAGCACCTAGGGTTATCTTAACTAATGCACTTAAAGGATTTGAACTTAATACATTTATGTAGGACTTTGAATTCTGCTTTTTTTTTTACTTCAAAGTTGCCAGCATTTTTTTTTCATATTTGCTGGCAGATTTTTTTTTATATGAGCCAGAATAGCAGGCACTCTGGTTGCCCAGCAACATCCAATTTTTTTTCCACTCATTTAATAAACAACCACTTATTTGCATATGCTTACTACATTTTTTTTTATTGCAGGCCCTGAGGAGATTATAAATAACACAACTATGGTCCTTGCTTCTAGAGAGCTGACATTTTAGTGGCAGGGAGTTAGAGAAGAGGGGAAGAAAGTTTTTTTTTATCCAGACCAGCGGTCAGCAAACTTCATGTGTAAAGAAGCAGACATTTTTTTTTTCAGGCTTTGTGGGTCACACAGCCTCTGTTGGAACTCAGTGGTGATTTTTTTTGAGGCTCCTGAACGCGTCCAGGCAGGTGGAGGTGGCCTGGGCTCTGTTTTTTTTTTCCTGGGTGGAAATATCGAGAGGTGGTTGGGTTGAAGTGATGTCTTTTTTTTTTCGGCATGTCCAAAGTTGGGTTGCCAGGATTTATAGAAAAATTTCCTTTTTTTTGATGGAATGGAGGGCTGTGAATTCTTTCTTTTTTAAATTAAATTTATTTTTTTTATTTTATTATGTTGTGTTAGTCACCATACATTACATCATTAGTTTTT